CATCTTCTCCCTCATTCTCGTCTAATCCCCCTCCTCTCCGTCTGTGGATGTTTGGGGCTGGCGCATTCTTCCTGTGTGAGCGCCAGGCCCGTTCACAGCTTGCAGTGATGCATTGATTGGGTTGATCATTGGCATCCTAGCATTCCGCTGCGCTATCTTGTACTATGTGAGGTCGGTCCTTGTTCTGGTTTGCACCATTACAGTATGCAACAGTTTGGTATCTCCTCCTCCTCTCACATGTGTGAAGTATGATGGGATGTCCTGTCAGTCCCGGTCAGGTCAGGACTTATATCCAAGTCTTCCACTGCACTACGAAGTGCCATTTGTATGTATCAGGATGTACACTGCTTGTTGAGATTCCACTAACACTGCATTGTCCATTCAGTCCTTTTCATCACCTTGCGGATCCTTGGTGTTGTTTAAGGGAGATTGGGAGACCTACCGAACTTGCAAAACTCGGGATTTTTATTAATTTCTCGAATTTTTTTTCTCTGCAAAATTTCTATCTTTTCTTTTTGAGTAGTTGCTCCTTATCTGGGCGATTTATTCCATTCACCCCTTCCCACGTATGTTGTTGCGCCCTCTGGTCATATCTTCTCTATCTGTCTCCGGGTACCCCCTGTGGCGGCATCGGTGAGTTGCCACGTCAGCAGGCCATGTCAGCAGACCACATCAGCAGGCCACGTCAGCCGACGGCCGTGCCACGTCAGCAGCCGAACAGTGCCATGTCAGCAGTCCTCCGGCCTGGTCTATGCTCACACGCTTACAAACAGCCGGCATGGATGAGAAGTCCGGGGATGAGAGAGGGAGGGAAGGAGCCTGGAAAAAAGTTTTTTGTTGACTGTGTGGTCCCGTGGATGATTGTTCACTACAGGACTCATTCGGTTTCCAGCCTGTGGCTTTGGGAAGGTAGTTATCTGATATTCTGCAGAATTATGTTTCTGACACTGCGGCACTATATGCGATACTCTTACCACTGGTGTGTTTGCTGTGGGCCTGTGGCCATGGCAAGATTATTGAGATATTGCTGAGGTGTCTGCTTTGGCCACAGCTAGATTCTGGTTAGGGAGGCTATGTTTTGGTTACTCTGTTCTTGAGACGTTGGCTGTGGCTGCAGCAACACTCTGGTTACTCAGGTTATGACCTGCCCGTAGCGGCGGTTGCTGCTGGGGTATATAGGAGAGAACGTATGTGCTTTGTTTAGCAGTGGGGCTTCTGTTAATTGCATATGGGGTCTGAATCCTTAGACAAGCTGTCGATTTATGCTGTCAGGTGCCTGAAAAGTCAAACTGCTATGCTTCAGTTGCTGGTTTGGAGCTAGCTGCTATGCTTCAGTCACAGGCTCGGAGCTAGCAGCTGCGATGAGGCTGCTATGTTGTTGGACGAACTTTCTTTATTCTCTTTCTAGCGGGATCTTTGCGGTGTAGGAGAGTGCACGTGTGATTTTGCGAACGGGAAAGTGGTCACCTCCAGTTCAACCACATAGGAGTAGGGAACCTTGCAATTGCTACAGCGTTTGTGGCCTTTGTTCTGGGCTGATGGGGTGCCACCCATATCTGTCTCTCCTCCATCGAATAGAAATGCCTAAGCAGGGCAGATATGAGAAGTCAGGCCAAATTTCAATTCGAATTGACAGTCTGTGCACTACTGGCTGGCCTGGATTTTGCGTTGATGGAACCTGGGAAGCTATCAACCGGAGTACAAGCCGCCAATAGCATGGATCTGACGGTCCCAGCAAAACCTCAATGGTGGGGAAGTAGACTGATGTGAAATGCTGTGCCTACACTGCCTAGGTGTATCTTTGTTTATTTCTAAATTTATTTTCTCGTTCTTTTCTTTTCTTGCAGTCTTCTAGAAGGATATGAAACCGAGTAGACTAAATCCTTCGGCGTCACCTATTGATGGAAGCTGGCGAGCCATCAACCGGAGTACAGGCCGCCAATAGCATGGATCTGACGGTCCTAACAAAACCTCGATGGTGCACTAATGTGAAATGTTGTGCCTAGGTGTGTCTTTGTTTATTAAACTATATTTCTATTTTTTTTCACCTCTTTCTTTTCTTTTCTTGCGGTCTTTGCCCCAACAGGTCTTCGAGAATGATATGAAACCGAGTAGACTACCCTTCGGCATCACCTATTTCAAAACCTCAAAAGGAATGTTGCAGAAATGCGGGGAGGTGACGAGACCAAGTTTGAGTAAGAACTTCAAAGAAAGGGAATGTCATGGAGGTGGAGAAGGATAAAGAGAGACAGAGGACCACTAGATTGACAACTTGTCCTTTCGGAGAGCTGCGAACATTTGAACAATACAAAGAACTGCAAGGAATATGAGTGGGAAAGATATACAGAAAACCAAGTTGTGAAATCACACAGATGTCCAGGTAGTCGTGTACAAGCAGAGAGAGCACAAATGCACTGAGATCCCATCCAAACAAGAGCAATACAATGAAGTAATTAGCCAATGTTCAAGCACTCAGGCCACACCAACACAGTATCCAAAGTCGCTCCCCTCTGTCTGGCGCCCAGTGCCCAGCCTACACTACCTGACTATCCTACCTACATCAGCATTCTCGCAGCAGGGTCTCTTCGACTCTCGCAGACCAGTGCACACGACGTCAATAGCATAGCCGACCTCTTACATGTACCAGGTACGTATCTCTTCTCCTCTCATCAGACCCTGTCCACCCACTCTCGCCTCCTTCCAGAAGACCACCGATCGCCCTCTTATCCCCTAGCGCCCTGCAGCGTGACTATGGATATTTGCACTCCGCTGCCCAGCAGCGCCCACAGGAGCCCGCACGCGCTCTGGCCCCAGTGCAGCATGCAGGCCCTAACGCAGCAGCGCAGCAGCATGACCGCATTGCCTGCGTGGGCCAGAATGCCAAACCCTGGCTTCCCTCCTTCTCTTTGTAGGTGGCAGCCCCTGCGTTGCTGCGTGTGGCCTGGCTGGAAGCTTCCAGTAGCTTCCTGTTGGGCCCCAGTGCCTGCACCCCGGCCCGCGACTAAAGTTGAGGGTCTGGTCCCTTTACAGTTGAGCACGGCCTGAGTCTCCAGACTTGGGCCATTTGCTGCATTTGCACAGGACCCCCGGGGTAGGTACGTCGACAATACTGCTTTTGCATAGGCTTGTGGCCATTTCATGATGTATCGGCCCTGCTTTGTGTGTATGTGCCCAGGCACAACTGCCAAAGCCTGGGCCAACTGTACGACACAGCTTAGGGAGGCCCACGCGTCCACTAAACCAACTGGCAGGCTGCAACAGCCTGAGTACCCATATTTGAAAATGTCGAGTTTTGGCCTCTAATCAGGCCCGCCTTCACTTAGGGCGGGCACTTGGCTTGCTGCTTCTGCCCAGAACATGTGTATGTCTGATAAGGGCCCGGTGATGGCTCGTTGCTCGCAGTAAACGAGCATGGCTCCTAAACATGGGTGACACACAAATCCAGGAATGGTTTGCATTAAAAGAAAAGAGAAGTGGGAAAAGAGTGGTAGTGAGGGCATGAAACAGGACTGTTGCACATGTATGATGTGTAAAACTCTATAGAGAGCCCAACAATCTCTCTCTTCTTTTCATTTGTGCAATAAATCGCAGTTTCCCAGTGGGGCTGTACACACTGTGTTGTTGAGACTGGCGGGACTTGATCCCGTGACCTGTAATTTGTATGTTTTGTTTGTTAGTTCTGAGCCCTATGGGACTTGATCCCTAAGTCTATCACTACTAGTCTCTGTTTGGTAGCCTTAGGCCATTCAGTGTTTTCCTTTTGCCTTGTCATAGGTCTAGGTCCCCTTTTCCCCCTGTTTCCATCTAGATGCAGATGAGTATTGGGTTGTTGCCTTTGGAGTCCGTCGTAGGTCTAGGCAGAGGGTAGAAGTAGCAGGTAGGAAATTTGGTTTAGGTCTTTTCACGTTTTGTTGGCTGGGGAAACTCTGCCCGTCCGTTGTTGGAGCGCTGCTGCTCTATTTTGGGCGAGGTCATCTTCTTCCTCGAAGCCCAGTCATAGCTGGGGTTGGGAAACGAAGTTAAAGATCGCAGTGCTGCTATTTTGCAGCTCTGCATGAGAGCTTCCACAGGACTGTGTTGTTGGCTTTGGGTGCTGCCATCTTCCACTTGGCAGCCATATCTGCTGTTCCTCCTCTCGAGGAACTTTGTCTTCTTCGAAGTGCTGGACAGGTTCTCCTTCTTCATCAGGACTTCCAGCGCTGCACTTCTGTGCGGGTGCTGAGCTGGCGCTGTTATCATTAGGGTTGCTGGTTCAGATTGGCACGTTGTGACAGCTGTGGGGTTACTGCTGCAGCCGTAGCCAGTGATATGGGGTGGCGAGGAGGAAGAAGAAGACTCCTGCATACTTCGTTGAACACTTGTTTCTGGTTGTTCGGGGTTGTTGTAAACGCGGTTGTGATTCTTGGAACAAGTACTCTGGATTGATGGGAGGAGGATGAGGGATGTCAGAATTGAAATTCGTTTTTCAATTCTCTGTGTATTTTGAGCTTGCGCTGTGCGTATCTTCTCTCCGGTTTTGTGTGGATTTGCCTCCTTCGAGCCTACTCTGCAATTGCATGTGTGTATGGGAACGTGTGAATTCGTTGTGGACTGAAGTTCAATCGGGCACATAACATTTGTCTGTCTCCCACAATTTAATTTAATTACGTCCGATTTTGCTTAATTGTCGTCGTCTTCTCTGTATGTCCATTACTAATTTTTTAGTCTTCCGAACTCCTCTCTCTCCCACCACGAGTTGTGGTCAATACCGTAGGTTGTTTAGGATCGTTTGGTGAAAAATTAACTGCAAAGTGGTCCTGAGGCTGATTTTCCTCCTGGTGTTATTCACTAGCTGTTATGGACAGATCCCAGATGAAAATTGCAAAATCTGTCGCTGAAGTTGCTTTTTCAGTGTTCTTTTGCCAACCAATTGCTCCGATCCTAAGCCCTCTGTTCCTTGCATTGGCTATTGATGTACAGCTTGGATTGTCTTTTTGGCCTGTCTTTGGCTTGGGGTGCAGAATTAACTGCCCGGAGGCTGCAATGAGGAGCCTAAAGCTCGCCCGCGATCATGCAGCGAGTGATCAAGAGAGGTTGGTGTATGAGGGGTGGATACTGTATGACACGGGCAACCGTGCAGCAGCACTTCGGAAGGCGAAGGAGTCCATTGCTATCCAAGGATCGTTTGAAGCGTACTTCTTGCAAGCTTATGCCCTTGCCGATTCGAGCCTTGATGCATCACAGTCAGATGTGGTGATTGAGCTCTTGGAGTGGGCCTTGAAGTGCCAATCGGATGGGTTGAGAAAAGGCCAGGTGTGTTATCATGAAATCCCGCTTTTGTATGTTTTGTTCAAGTAGCAAGTTGCTGGTAAGGCGTTGGGTCTGTACTCTTCACAGTGTGGGTGGGTTTTGGATGGATCTGGTGTTGATTTTAGGTGATCCCAACCACACACTGGGTTGAGTGGACCATGCTATTACTTCCAGACATATCGCCACTCATGGGAGTGAGTGCTAATCTGATATCTACTGTGCAGGTGGGCATTAAACCACCAGTACATGGCCCCAGGCAACTGGAGAACCTGTTTTGAGCCTCTCCAAAAATTTTGGAGGCTGAGCGCCGTAGATAAAATGAATCGGTGGTGGGGGGCCTCCGAAAGGGGCCTGCGGCCGATAGCTGGCATGTGCTGGTGCTTTGAGCGGGCTGATATGTGGGCACTCCTTGCTCAACTATGCACATATAGATGCAATGACTTGCTGTTTTCTGGTTGCCTGTAGCCTCTCTCTGTTGAGGCTGTACTATAGGTAGGATAGATTCATAATGTTGTTTGGCGGAGGGCTAACCGAGAGACCTACCTGTGAGGGAAATTCGAGAGGGACATATCTGCAAATTCAGGAAAATGCAGGCCCTGTACTAACAGAATTCCCTACCGCTACCCTAACTGCGAATGGCAGGCCTGGGCTGCCACTAGGACAGACAGGCCCTAAGGGCCTATTCTGATAGACAGTCCTATAGCCTATAGCCGGGTCTGGTAGAGGCTGGAAGGCCGAAACAGAAACGATACCGGTCGGTCAGTCAGTCCGGTCTAGGTCGAGTCTAGACTAGGTTAGGTTATAGATAGAATGGGCACATCGGTTCAGGGCTTTTGGCAGTTGGTACCGAGTACATCGCTGCTGCGCTATGCGTGAACCGGAAGTGGTGACGGCTCAGTGTGGAAGGAGACAGGCATAGCCCGACCTTCGGAGCGTCGGCCATAGCTGGGACCTGCGCTGTACTCTGCCAGCACGCAGGGGCTGACTGAGGTATGGGCTATCAAGGTCTGCTGGAGGCGAGAGAAGTTGGTGCCCTGCTGGACCCTCCTCCGGAGTGGGGTTCCAAGGTGGTGGCGCTGCAACCATAGCTGCAGCTTCGTCCTCAGAGGTCATCTTGTCAGGGTTTGGTGGCGCTGCTGCAGACTTCCACCCGGGAGTCTTCCGACACTTCGTCATCATCAGATATTGTGGGGCTGGTCTTCTTCTTCATCCTCTGAGTGGCGCTTGGCCTCAGAGGCCTGTTTCAGGGTGGCGCTTCCCTGTGGAGGCTGTATCTGGGTGGCGCTTGATGTTTCAGGGACTCAGGGGTGTTACGGGTGCTAATCGGGGTTGGGGAGTGAAGCACTGCTCATTTCTGAGCAGCGCACAGTACTGAAGTTATCCTGACAATTCGAGACTCTGAGTTTAATAAACAGTGTGTAACTGGGTTTGGACTATCATCGTTTCATTGTGTCCTGGATGTGATCTGCTCGACTTTTCTTTATGAGTGGTTGTGAGGATTGAGTGGAGTGAATTGCACTTTCAGTGTACCTTGTCATATCGCATGGTCAAGTCTTCCGTTGTGTATACCCCTCCCTGTGCGGTGTGATACTCCTATCCTCTCCCCTACCTTCTGTGTATGTATGGGCATACTTGGAAGTCTATGTGAGTGAGTGTTGGTCTTCAGACTGCAAACAACCAGAATCATAACAGTTGGTATCGGAGCAATTGGATCCAGACTCTGGAGCGCTTGATGAGTTGGAGCACCCATCATCATCTAGCGAGATACTGGAGTTGAGTCTCATGACGATTCATCATCTTCAAGGTTGTTGTTAGTAAGGGTGGTGGCTGTGAGTGTGTGGCGAGAAGAATTGGACAGAGGGTGACTCACTCTTGATTAGGGTTGTGCAGGAGTGGTTGGCGGTTGGTGCTCAGAGGCCTGAGAGGCTCTGGGAGGCTATTTTTAGCCTAGCGATCCACTGGCGATTGGCAAGGAAGTGATCCTAGGAGTTTGCGATTTTGGAATAGGGTCAGGATCCCCAATTTCCAAGCAGCGCAGTACAGGGTGATGTGGGGCTGCACTGACTTTGTCAATTATTGGCACTTGGGAGTCCGAATTCTTTGAATATGTCATGTGGGGGTGAAGAGCCTCAGGGTTATCTACTGGATCACCAAGTTTCAGGCAATTTGGTACGTGGGAACACTGGATATTGTCAGGAGATGAAACTGGCGAGATGGGGTTGACCAGTCAGCCATAGCCAGGGTTTCATGCATCTTCTTCAGAGTTGACCCTGAAGTAAGTGTTCTCCTTACTCCATCCTGTGTGGCGATTCTGGGACTATTTTTAGAATAGCGAAATTTGGTCTGTCTGTCAGTGTCCAGTTGAAAATCGAAATTCAGACTGTGGGACAGCCATATCCAACTTTCCCTACCTATCTTCTTTGACTTCTACTAACCCTGTCTGACCTTCTTTCTGACTCATATTTCATCTGTGACTGCTTCACAGTATTGCGATTTATACGATGTAGTGAATTGGTGAATTCAGGGTCCTGTTTTAGTAATAATGCAAATTTGAATTCTGCGCTGACATAGCTAAAGCTTGGCTAGACTAGGGTCAGTCATAACTATGATTTTGTTCGTCAGAATTCAATTATGTTAGTCCCTGGTTAATCGCAATTGAATACTCGGTCTGTGTTTGAAATCGCACATCCAGATTTGATGTTCTGAGTTAGTTATAGTGAAAACTGTAAGTCACCATACCCAGGGTATGGCATACAGGGTCATACAGTGGTGAAGTCTGTAGGGTAGGTCTAAAAATAGGGTTACCTGTAAATCGCTACATCTTGGTCATCAGTGGACACCTATCAAACCCCAATTAGTCACTCTGTCTAATTACTCATTAACACTAATTAGTCCAAGACTGCATCCTGTCAATTATTAAAGCAGGATTTGCAATTACTGCATGCAATTGTTGTGTCAGGGCAGGGATGGGAAAATCGTGAAATTGATTTTTGCTGAGTGTACTCTAAAGTGACCCTGACGGTCAAGCGGTCTGCTGAGACTGAGCAGTCACTTGCTCAGAATAACCAACCTTCTCTCTCCAGGCAGGTGACAGTAATTGAGCGAGTATTGAAGGGAAACCTCAATTCCTGTTACCTCCCGTTTTGCCTCTGGTTAATTGTTTATTTTATTTTATGTATCTGCATTGTGGGTGCCCAAAATGACCGATTCTGAGAAGGGCGAAGTGTCTCAGAAGGCTGAGACTTCTGAGGTGAAGCCTCAGATATCGCCCAAGCCGCCTGTTCTGCTTGACCCTAAAGAGGCTGAACTGCGGGCCCAAGAGGAGGTACTCCGCCAGCAGGCCAAGGCAGTTGAGTCTCTAAAGGCTGAGTTGAAGAGGAAGGAGGCGTCTGCAAGAAAAGAAACGAGAAGGCAGGAACTGACAGCAGATGTAGAGAAGGTGAGAACGAGTGGCAGCTCCAGTCAGTACAATAAGGACATAGCTGAATTCGTCCTTATGCAGGATGAAATTCATCAGTCCTATTTTACTAACTGGGACGCCAGGATCACCAGTCTGGAGGACAACATGGCTGGGCGTACTCAGCAGCTGAAGGATATTTCCTCCAAATTGGACCGTGTCTTCGTCCATCTGCACATCCCACCTGCTCAGACAGCCCCTCCCTCTCCTGGGCCTTCTCAAGCAGGCTTTCAGCAAATCCCACAATCCAGACCCTCATCTCCATCCTCTACCCCCAAATCAATAGCAGCTTCATAGCCCTCAACACCACTTGACTTCCAGCGGCCCAAGCTGACACCTCCACCCATGTTCTCAGGTGAGGACCCAAAGGTGGATGTTAAAGATTGGGTCACTGCCCAAAGAACCTACCTGATTGGGTTCAAATGTGATGAAGACGTCAAGGTGTCTGCCATCCTTGCTCGTTTGGAGCGGACTTCACTGAAATGGTGCATGTCCACCTCCAACAAGCAAGGAATGGAGATGTCCGATTGGGCACAGAGGTTGCGGGTGGCTGGTTTTCTGCAGGCCCTGCATGATAGGTTTGCAGAAAAGGAGCAGGCCAGGAAAGCAGCAGACAAAATTCTGCGCCTGGGCCAAAAGAAATTTGATGGCTCCTTGTCCAAACGTTATTCCACCTTTGAGAGTTTCGACTCCAGGGTTAAAGATGAGTGAGCAGGATGTGCTCATTCATTTTTTGCGTGCAGCGCCTGAGCAATACCAGCTGGCTTTATTCTCTCAGGGCCACAAGGACGGGCGGTCCTTTGGCAGAGCAGCCCTGGACTTGGAGTCCAAGCTCCATGTTCAGGAAGCACCTTTTGGAGGAAGGAAGGGACCCTCCTCCAAAGGGTGAAGGAGGAGGAAGGGTGCCCTGTTTGCTGCTGCAGCTGCAGGATCAGATAGTGACGCAACATCCCAGGGTGGGAGCCCTTGACCTGGGACTGCTTCATCATCTGCTGTAGATTCTGTTGTTCTTGCCCTGGCTGATGCTTTGATGGGCCTGACAAAGGGCAAGGCCCCATCCGAGAAAGCATCAACCAGCAAACAGGGGAAAGGAAAGGGACGTGCCTCTTCCCCTGGTGCCCAGAGAGTACCTTTGCCACGTGACGTCCGATGGCCAGCTGATCTTCTTGATCCTTTCACCTTCCCCTGGCATGCACTCGGGATCCAGGAGGGGGTATGGAGGAAGAGAAAGGACAAGGGGGTCTGCCTGAGATGCGAGGGGGACCATTTCTTGAAGGACTGTCCCAACATGCCTCGTAGGTCAGGCAACTCTAGTTCAAAAAACTAGAGCAGAGAGAGGTGGAAGCAGCAGCTCCTTCCACCAGTGCTGATTCACTTTCTGATGGGGGTGAATCTTCACATTCTCTCGCTGGTTTTCTTCTATTTCTGGAGTTACACCTTCAAGGTCTTTCACTTTTGAAGACTCTGAGTTGGGTGAGACGTGGGAGGAGGACGATGCTCAGTGCCTTGCTGATCTTTTCCGGTCCTTGTCCTTACAGGAAAAGAA